TATAAAAAACATAATGTAGGAATTGAAAGTTTCTCATAATTAAAATCCTTTTGCCGCAAGATAGTCAACAATTGATGCATAGTCAAATTTCTTTCCCAAAATATGTTTTATCATTCTGACCATATGATACAGCCCTATCTGCTACTTCCATGTTTCAGTTGGCAATAGATCTTGGGCATCTTCCTGTGTCAGTACATGTCAATCTACCTCATTGTAGTGAGTGATTGTATAATAGTTTTTTTTTTACTTGGTAATTGGTTATTACATGTTTATTTTGTAACTAGCCAATTACTGAATTCTCTTTCCTTCCTTGTGATTGTTTTTAATTCTTTTGCCTTTTTCAGATACATAATAGTTCTGGGTAGTGATGATAATTTTAACCTCCATACTTTTAACAATCTTATTTCATTTCCTTATCAAATTGACCAGCACTTTTAGAACAATGTATATAATTGTGCTGGTATTGTACATTCTTCTTTAAATACATGTAGTTTTTACTTAGTGTTTCTCCAAAAGTATAAATTTGAGTCTTAATGTAGATATTCTTAATATGTGAGTTTATATATTAAAGTTACACCCTTCTCTTTCAAGTTTACTGAAAGTTTTATCTGTAATGATGTCAAGATTTTATTAAATGCCCTTTTTTCACATCTGTCAAAATGATCAAGTGCGTTTTCTTTATCATGACTTAAGGCGAATCATTTTAACAGATTTGCTCATGTTAAATTCTCTCTGTATTTCTAGAAAATCCTGATTTACTCCTGGTATCTTATCCTTTCAATGTACTTCTGCACTCAGTGTTAACAGTGGTTATTTATGATGGGTTTGTTATGGCAGATTTTTGTGTTCTCATCTGTATTTTCTGATTTTTCTACAAGGTTTGTATATTACTTGTATTATAAAAATAAGAGCTTTAAAATAAGAAAAATATTCTGCAATTGGTTTGCTCATATTATTTTGGAATTTTTCATGTTAAGATAAACAATTGTGTCATTTTTTTTCTACTATCTCTGTAAGGTATGGTGTTGGCTTTGTGTTAACCTCTTAAAAAAAAACAAACAAACAAACTTGGGAAGCTCTCTTTTTTCTATGCCCTGGAACAATTTAAATAATATTTAGAATTTTTTGCTCCTTGAAGTTTTGATAACATGTATAAAATTGTCCAAGTCTAGTGCCTTTTTAGAGAATAATCTTTGACAATTTTTTTTTCATTGTTTTCCATGCTCATTAGTCTCTTCAAACTTTATTTCTATTCTGTAAGTTTCTGGCAATTTAAATTTCCTAAATAATGATTCTGTTAAGGTTTTCAGATTTACCAGGATGAAGTTGTTATATTTTCCTATTCTCATTTCTTACATTGTGTGTCCTGCTTTCCCTTTTTATTCTGATGAATTTTTCCAGAATTATTCTATTTTGTCGATCTTTTCAAAGAACCAACTCTAGGACTTATATCTTAATTTACTATTTTGATTGTTTTTGTTCTTATTAATTTCTTCCTTTCTTTTAATATTTTTTTACCTTCTCAAGTCGAATACCATTTTAACTTTTTCTTGTTTAATAATAGCAGTTACTAGTAACTTTAAAGCTATGACTTCTAAATTTATTCACATCCGTTAAATTTCTAGGTATAGTGTTCTAAGTTATAAATAATTTCAAATTCAACTTTATTTTTTACTGAAGAGCTATTTGAAATTATACTTTTTCATTTCTAGATAGTTCAATATTTGTCTTTGTTTTAAACATTTGCTATAAATTTCTAGTTTTACTGCTTTGCTGTCAAAGAGGGTATGGCCTGTACAATTTCTGCATTCTGGAGTTTATTGATGTTTTCTTAGGACCTAATAAATTGTTCATTTTAATAAATATTCCCAGGAAACTGCAAAAGAAGATATATTCTCTGAAGGGAACAAAATTCAATCTGTATGTATTAATATGATCTTATTAATTCTAATATTATGGACCTCTAATTTCTACTTGAATCATTAAAAGACTAAGGAAAGTATGTTAGTCTCCCACTAATATTGTAGTTCTGTCTATTTCTCTTGTTTCTAACACTTTCTGCTTTACATGTTTCAGTATGATGTTATTTGTCAAATTACCTTTTTATATTTAAGGAAAAAAAGGTTTTCCTTTAAAGACTCGTATACCTTTGTGAATTTTACCTGATTTTGTTGTAACCGAGTTATGGCAAAATATGTCAAAATACATAGTTTGGTAAAATGGTAAATGTGTTTCTCTTTTTAAGTCAACAAAAATTTTTCAGAAACCTTTGTGTCTTAAGGAGATGTTTGGAATAAGTTTGGAAGCTCAACCCAGGGGTAGGTTGATGATATTCTCTGTGGCCTCGAGCAAGGATGGCAGTATGGGCAGAGGCACATATGCCTTGGGGACAGGATGAGGGATTTTGAGTATGCCATTCCAGACTCCTGCTTTGGGGCAGCCTTATGCTCGGGTAAGTTTAGGAGACACCCACCCTCTAGCTGGTCACATTCTGCCTCCATGGGGCCAGAGCTTTTGGCAACCCGAGGCATTTTTCTTCTGCAGGCTGGGCTTTTGGGCAGAGGGCAGCAGAAGAGTGTGTGGTTGTCTTCCTAGCTCTTGGGGGGAAAAGCTAATCTCGGAGACTCATTCTACTGAAAGACTTTTCCAGAGCTGTTTGAACAGATTATTTACATGGCAGAGTCTGTGCTCGGCAGAAAACCAGCTTTTCCCCAAAACGTGTAGGAGGTGTGAATCTCAACCCACAGCTCCGGAGTGAAATAAATACAGCCTCTTTTCCCCTTCATTCAAGTTCATTTCTATTTCGAGCCCCCATTCTATAAGGCTCATGCATTGATCTCAGTCAATTCTGAGGACCTCTTTCCTCCAGATGTGAGTGTTCGAAGGTTCTGAGGAGCTTATGTATTCCCAAGGAGTTAGCGGGAAGGGAGCTTGTGTCTACTGAGATGTCTCCTGTCCCTGTCCTGTAGTCCTCTGAACTACCTCTGTGTCGTGTCCGTGTGCTTGGGCGTATAAGAACTTCCCAGATGTCCTCCTGCTGCAGAACTCCCCGTGTGTCCTGGGCCCTTGCTGCAGCCGTCCTCCGTCTGACAGCAAACATTTGGGGTGGAGGGCAATTTAACTCGAAGGGACTGCTGGTTAAGCCAGGTGCGTGTTTGCAGGGGAGAGCACACCACTGGGTGGAAATGAGTGTGGCCACCAATGCCTGCTTGCTCTGAGGATGGTCACTGCTCCTGTGTGGGTTTGGCTTTGGCCCTGAACACTGCGTGAGCCACCTTTTGGAGGTCTGTCCTGGCGGGGTCAGGAAGAGAGATGATGTTGCTGGCTTTGACTGTAGAGGAAGGCCACAAGCCAAGGAAAGCAGGCAGCCTCTACACACTGGAAAAGGCAAGACAACAGCTTCTGCCCTAGAGCCTTCAGAAAGGAAGGCAGCCCTGCTGACACCTTGGTATTGGCCCAGTGAGACCCGTGTTGGACCTTGGACCTGAGGAACAGTAAGAAAATTAATTTGTGTTGTTTCGAGCTTCCGAGTTTGTTACAGTAGCAGCAGAAAAACCGTATACTCCCCACATGAGCTTACACACCTAAGATTCGAGAACCTCTGCTGTATAAATCCACAGAACTACACGGTTTCACGTGATGGGAGGTTCCACATTCATCAAACACCTCCTGGTTCTAGCTCCTGCAGCTACCTGCTGCGTTCCCCAGTTCATATTCTGGAGAGGGAACGAATGAACAAATAAATAAATCAGTCTGGTGGCCCAGCTCGTTTTGCACTCCAGGACAGCCCATAGAATGCTGCCAGCTACGGATTGGTTATCCTGGAATCAGCTTTGCCCATAGGGCCTGTCTCAGGCTGTAAAACTGGCCACAGCAGCTGCACACCCCCCTGTAGCCAGGGCTGTGTGTGAGGAGGTAGCATGCCTGGGGCTCAGGGAGACTTGGGAGAGGAGAAAGCTCTACGGGGTGACTGGGGATGGTGTGGTTTCAGTGGGACTCAGAGGCAGAGGGCTGGGGGCATCCCAGGCACTTATGCTTAAGTGAGGCAGGTGGCAAGCAGCGTGGTATTGCTGGAGTAAAACCTGGGGTAGGGGCAGGGGCTGCCCAGGACAGCAACCAGGTGTCAGGCTGGACTCCCCTTGCTGAGGCGCCAGCCCTCACCATGCTAGATGCAGAGCTGGGAAGGACTTCGTTGGAGCCTAAGATGGATCGGCAGCACTGTGGAGGGGGGTTGGAGACGTTTACAGCAAGACGGTAGGACACAGGCCGTCCCCCACTCCTTGGCTCTGAGGTCCCTGAGGCCAGAGTCTGGACTGACTTCAAGGCTTGGGTAGGAAAAGGGGAGAAAGGGAGAAATGAGGAAGAAAAGGCTCCAGAGAGGGAGAAGTCTTGATGCACAGAGAGGTAACTGGGAGAGGAGTTTTAATTGGGAAAACTCTTTTTGAAAAGGATCTTTTTTTTTTGAAGCCTTCTCATCTTTGGCAGTCCTTAGCAAATTCTGAGAATTTCCCAAGCCTGAATGAGATCACTGTTGTCTCAAAATACTGAGTTTACAATAATTAAGATTGAAACAATACATAACTGCAAAATAACCATAAGGAAGTCCAACGTAGTTCTGATTTTTCCATTTAAAAAAATATCTTGTTCTTTGCAGAGAACTGTCTTGGGGCTAAGCTTGGCCTGTGTCTGTGATGGGGCAGGAGGCCTGGGGCACGGCCACTGACCTGTGGAGACCCAGGATTGCATGGCAGGCGCAAGGGATCTGAGGTCAGTGGGGACATTTTGGGCAATTAGAGAAATGCGTGTTCTGCTTTGTACTGGTCTTGTCCCCTATCCTGATTTTAACACAGAGCACTACCCACCCTACCTTAGTATTTGCTTAAGCAAACATTTAGCTGAAATCTTATTAAAAACTTGACACCCGGCCCCCCACCAGAGAAGGCTGTGCTTTTTATCAGTTAAGATTTCATGTTTTCATTTCCTCATGATTGACACTGATACATTATCCATAGTTCTTTATGATGAGTTTATAGAATGCGTGATACATAAAATACATTCATTTAAAATATTTAAAACTATTCCTGAATATAAGCAATTTATTCTCATTATTGCTAAAATAATGTTCACATTCAAACCTTTAAATCTGAGGAAACCACTGGCGCGCACACACAGGACACAGTCAGCGGTCTCACAGTGCTGTTTGCCACATGCCATCACAGTGTAGACGTTTTTCAGAATAAGGGAATGATTCTAGAGCATCCACAGTGAAAAATAAATACTATTTTCTTACTCCGGCAACACTTACTACGGGGTCTCGGATCCCAACTACAGTGTGGTGTGTAGGAGTGACCACAACACTGCTTCTCTGGTTTAAAGAGCCACACATTAAGTAAAAGCTGAGATGTCACACACACAACCCTGCTGATCTTCCGGGTGTTACTTGGCCAGTCTACCCTGTTCACATGCTTTTCAGGAACAGGCCTTGGGCCCTGCGGCTTCATTCCAGCACGCTGTGTGCCCTTGGCCTTGGAGAAGAGCTCAGTGGTCCCACTCGCTCAGGCCCTGCCCCTCGCCGTCCTCCTCGTCCTCCTCGGAGTCGGCAGACACTCTCTTGATTCTCTGGAGTGCAGCCTGGATGCTCCTCTCCAGGTTGCTGGCAGGTTTACTTCTGGGGCTCAGGCCAAGGTCAGGGTGAACTTTTCTCAGTTTGACGCCTCGCCTTATGGCGGCCAGAATGTGCTCGTTGACTGAGGCGTGGGGAGGGGACCAGGCTGGCACGTCCACTTTCCGGAGAGGGATTCTGTCACGCCTTAAGGAGGCCAGCACGTCATCCATAGATCCTGAAATTGAGAAAACAGAGCAAGTACTATCAAAAAGTCATATTCTTTCTCTTCGAGATGCCAGGACGTTTTAGTACTAGTTAAAAGTGTTAAGTCACACATCGGTTAACACCATAATTTATAAAAATAACTGTCGTTTCTGTAAACACATTTTGATGATCTGCTAGAAAGGTCAACCGCAAGCTCCCTGTGTGGATACGGGACAGTTTAACCTCTAACGTTTTATCTTGACCACTTATCTTTCACTACTTCTCAAGTCCACAGCAACTCGCACAGCTGTGCACACCTGTTGTTAGAATGTGTTTTTCAAGACACGGCTGTCGTGTTATTTCTGTGTGATCTTGAAGAGAGTTATGGATGCCTGGGGTGAAACGGTCTGACCCGTGTGCGCCACTTAGATATACCTCTGAAATTATGTCCCCTCCGTTTCCTTCGCCAATTTTATACACTTTTTAAAAAAATGTACCCTGCTGTATTTCTCTAACTTCGGTCTTGGATGTTAATCAGTGATGACTGATGAATCAACATGACAATGAAGTGAGTAGGTTTCCACACATGAAAAGCCTTAAAGTAAAACTTTTATCAGTAGCTAAATGAACCTGGCGGGGGAGGCGCTGGCATGTCTCTGTAGTGTGCCTAATCCCACCTACGTCACCCTGAGGTACCTTGCCTGCTCTGTTCTTGCGGGTGTGAAATGCTGTCAAAACACAAATTAGATCAGAGTTTCAAGGCCTGGGTGAGGAGAAGCTATTTTTCACTCTGGCACCATGAAACCCCTGAGCGGTATGATGGTGGCCACTGATTTAGAGATCTTCCAGGTGAGGGTTCGAGAAGAATAGTCGTTTCTAGTTCAGGATTGAAAGGCCAGGTGGTGTCTAACAAAATACTGTTTCACTTTGGACTCAAACCTAAAATGGGTTATTATAACACCCTTCTGGGAGTAAGAAGACAGTTTCACAGTCAAGGGCACTTTTTGGTGCTAGTTCACACTTTCTGATTCTTTTCAGTGGAATGAAAAGTGTGGGAGTCGACTAGGGCTTCCCCACACTGTGCATTGGACCCAGGCTGGAAGGGGGCACAGGGGTCCGCCCACACCCACACTGGGCTAGGCACTGGCACACACTCACTCCACTTACAGTGTTGTTGCGACATGGAACTGGGCCAAATGGTAGACATTTCCATTTGTACCAGGTTCTAGGTACAGTGAAACCTTCACCTCAACCAGAATACTCAATTATCCAGAATCACAGTTTGGAGCTGGTATATTTCCATCATTTACAATATCTATCATAGTACCTGTGCATGTTCTAGGTGGAGACACTCAAGCATGGTCTTGAAAACATGTACACAACATTTTGCTAGGATTTATCTAGAACACACGTGCACGCACACACACACATAAAATACACTCAAAGCATTAGGGTTTGAGTCTCAGCAGATTTAAGCCAGTGTCCTCAATAGTCAATGTCTAAACCATAATTAGAATTATGAGTCAGATAAACAAAGAAATATTCAAGTGTATTGCAAAGGCAAAAAGTGGTCCACTATTTTTTTTTTTTTTTACCACCTCATTTTAGAAAGATTTCTCACAGGAAGGTTTTCTGTCTACTGTCAGCCTGTAGGAACAGCCTTCCATGTTCTGACCACAATTCCTCTACAGTAATTCCCAACCAATCTGCTTAAGATGCAACAAGTTAATTGTGTAAAGGACTCAAACGCAACAGTAAGCGTGATTTAAAGCAACTCAGACACATACTGAAGTCTTAAGAAACCTGAAATAGGTTTATTCTTTCACAGCCTCCAAGATCTCGAGTCTTGTGACCATTAAATGTACGGAGATGGTTTCTTCAGGATGAGTTAGCATTTCTCAAACTCAGATTTAGGTAGGTTACGCTACCTTTGCAATAAAACGGTAATATTTAAGACAGCAAATACTGGAATATTTTAAGATTGCAGAGAATTCTGAAAAAGATTTTGATTTGAAGAGGATGGCTTCTAAAGCTAGAATGCTCAACCGCTCAAGCACCCATGGGGATGCAGGGACAGAATCCGGCGGATTACCTGGGCCTTCGAAACTGTCTGAGGAATCACTTGGTCCTTCAGCAGGCGACTCACACACTAGAGGAAGTGGCTCATCATCTTTTACTGAAGTCCTGCCGTGGAAATTCCAATGATTTGCAGATTGAGAAGAAAAGGACCGAGCAGGGAGGGCAGGCGCTGGCGGCGGCGGCGGTGGAGGAGGTGGAGGTGGTGGCTGTGATGGCGGCGGTGGCGGCGGTGGCGGCGGCGGTGGCGGTGGAGGCGGTGGAGACGATGGGGGCGAGGGCGGGGATTGTGGCCGTAATGACAGTTCCTCACTGGATTTGTAGTGTGTTTGGTCACCAGCTGGAACAAAAATCGGGACAGGGGTATTTCCAGGACAGTCTTGAAGCTCGGCAGTTTTCGCATCACCGACTTCCGGTAAGGGAGCCCTTCTGGTCTCCCCGGAGGACGACGAGGTCACGGCCTTTGTCCCAGAGGGCGGCGAGGAGGCCTGCTGGGCAAGTCCACCTGGCGGGGTTGGAGCCTCAGGTTCCGGGCAAGAGGTCTTTACTACAGACCGACCTGGACATCTCTGAAAATGGAAAACTGCTGTGAGAAACTTGCCACAAATGCAAACCATCAAAATGCTGGAACTTTCTGTAAACAAATGAACACAGAAGAGTTTCTGTGTGTGGACTGTGCTAATTCACAGAGTGGCTTTCTCTTACTTTGTACACCCACCCTTGCTACTAAATCTGTATTAAAGAATAAGCATTTATATCCTTTGACATAATAATTTCTCTAATAAAATAGATATGGAAGGAAACATAAAAATATAATATTTTTAGTATGAAAAGTCAAACTAAATATCAGCAATAGTTAAAAAATTACAGTGAATTTATATAAAATATTAGGCAGCCATGAAAAATCATAAATAGTATAAAGTTTGTGGAACATCCTAAAAAATACAGATGATGGAGTATTAAATTTATAATCATGCAAAAAACAGCTAAGAAAAATAGAGTGGACATCAAAGCGACAGGTAAAATAGGAATTATGGATGTTTCTTTCCTCTAATATGTTTATATTTTATAATTTTAAAAAATGTGAATTTAAAAAGTTCTAGTCTCTCAGGTATTCATTTGATAAAAATCTAGCCAACAAAGAACTAATCTTGAGGGGTCAGGAGGGGAATCCCTAAAAAAGGCATTGATTAGCCAGTAAAACATATAACATATTAATACTATGTAGCCATTAAAATAAACTATATACACATATATATCAACATGAATGTACCTCAAAAACAATTTAAGTGAAGAAACTGGCAAAGGATGTATATAATATGAGGCTGTTATTATAAACTTAAGCCAAAAACACATACCAAACTTAAAACACTGAAGTTTAAGTGTAAAATTAAAACACACAAAAGCGCAATTCATGATAAACTCAGAGTATTTCTGTCTCTCTCAACATTTGCTGTTTTCAGAACAAACAGCAGAGCAACGGCCACAAGTCCCCAACCTCACTGATGGCAGCTGTCACCTTACAGCTTTCAGTCAGAGAACAGGCCAGTAGAACACAACCCCAGGAACTGCCAGACCTCAGGGGTCGCCCAGCCATCTCCTGATGTCGGGGAGCCCCGACTAGCCAAGGATCCCCTCCTTGCATCCCACAGCAGCAGGTCACTATGACTCCGGCCTGCTGTGTCCTGCCTGACATTGCCAGACATTGCCAGACAGTCTGCCTCACCCTGGACACATGTGACAGCCCCTGAGATATTTAAAATCAACTTGTCTGGGTTCCACAAGTATCTTGTACCATGGGATTTCATTTCCGGCCTTTTCCCTCTCCTCCTTCCTCCCTTCCTTCTAAATGTGCTCACATTGGCTTCGTCCCTTCAAGGGTGACACTTCTTGGTACACACAGAACTCCCTCATTCTACAAAGGATGCTTCTGTTCCTACTTTCTAAAAACTCATAAGGTTTTCTTCAACTTCATCCCAAGTGAGTCACATTAAAGTGAAGGAAACTCAATTCTCAGAATTCTTTTCCCCATATTTAAATCACACACACACACACACTCCTTCCCACCACCCCTTGTATAAGTGTATTTTTGGACCAAAAAACCTGCAACTTACACCAATTTGAGGTCAACTTGTTTAACTCGTTCCAGCTTGCTGAGAGCTTAGGCGGCCTGATTCCGTCACCTTCCATCTGTCTGTCTTCCTACCTCATACTATCTCTGTGTGAAAGTTGATCATTGATCTGCCTGACTGGTTCAGGGCTAAAGAGCTGGACTTGGGTCTCTTCCTCCATACTGATTCCATTGCAGTAATCACCCTCTGGTGACAGCTCACAAGTTACTGTCCAGCTCATTCGCTCTACATTCAGTGGGTATTCACGTCACTCCTGTTTGCGCCTTCTTCCTGCTTTCATTCCCGCCCTGGCCCCTGTTCAGGACGATTAAATCAGAGTCTCTGGAAGTGGGCTCTGGGCATTAGTACTTTCAGGAGCTCTGCCGATGATTTCTGGTTTGCTGCCCAAGCTACAGAATCCCTGTTGTGGCTCTGGAGTTAGGGACCTCACTCTGTATGACCTTGAGCCCAGCTGTGTAATCCCTCTGAGCCGTGGTTGCTCATCTGTGAAGTGGATGATTGATAGTATCTCACAAGTTCATTTCAAAAATGAAATGAGACGAGTGTAAGCACCTAGCTCAGTGCCTGGGATACGGGAGGCGCTTGGGAGTGGTCAGGGTGCTGAGTGTAACAGAAAACAAGATGAAGCTGGTAGGTCATGATTTTCTGCTCCAGTAGCCCCAACTTTACTTGTTAGTGTCACATCACAAACCTTCAGGACCTTATTTCAGAGGCCTGTCTGGAGCAGGTTGTTTTCTCTTTGGGAGAAATAATGAACTTGGGTCTTTGTGAAGGTGTGTGTGGGGGTATGTGATGAGAACAGGTTTATGGTTTACATTCAACAAGCTTAATATTTTTAAATAAGTAACTATTTACTTATTTAAAACACCCATTCACGTTTAATAGAGCATTTAACAAGATTTATGTCACAGTGTTCCCTAGACTTCACTTTCAAGAATTCTTTATTGCAAATGAGGGAAAAACTAGCTAAAGTCGAGGGCAGTTTAACTATTTTCGGTTTCCCTGCTGGTCGACACCATGGTGGGCAGAGCTAGCACCACTTGGAGGGGGCGAGCAGGAACCCTAGCGTGTGGCAACGTCAAAACATCTCGATAGTCTGATATTTTTTACTTTTATCTATATATTAAAAGTAATGGCATTTTGGGAACAGCTTGTATTCCAAATGATCTGTTCATAATCCTTGATACTTTCTCTGAGGATGGGTGATCTGCATTTATTCCTCTGGAAAATGTAGGCGAGGTGATTATTTCCGGAACTTACCTCTTTAAATTCTCTCAATCGTTGCAGCGTTTTTTGGCGTTCTTGGTTTATCCATTTTTTTTTCTTTTGCTCCTCTTCTTTTATCTTGTCTCTCTTCTGTATTTAAACAAACATATTTGTAAATTCCTCAAAATAAAAATAAGAAAGGGGCTGTAACCCAACATTGTCGCCTGCTCCCGACCACCCCCGTCTGCTCCCCAGACTACAGGACTGGGCTGCACAGTCTCCCCGGGTTGAGGCTGACCGCTGCAGGTCCAGGGCAGTGAGGCTTCAGTGTCCACAAAGTTAAGCCAGGATGCTATACTATGCAAATCTAGAACATTTTTCTTTAACCACTCACCATCTGAATACTGTGATGCTGATGAAAATATTTTATACTTTCTGCAGCCTGTTGTAGTCGGAGCCGATGGTTTTCTTTGCATTGATCCTGGTGGAATAATACAAATCACCTACGTGGTTTTCAATATTATCATGGGCTATAGCATAAAAGGTTGAAAGAAAAAAAGCATTGTATTTGGGGTGCCGTGTAAGACAATCATGAACAGGCGTTTCTGGAGTGGCTCAGTGGTACTGCCTGACACTTCCCCTGTCATGTGATGAGGGGTGATGAGCACTTGCAGGAATTAGCTGTTCCCAACCAGAAGGGCCATAGCTGTGATTTAGTGCTTAAGGAGGTGAAAAAGCAGATTCTCCAACCAAGGGAAAATGAGAGGGCACACAGGAGTCCTTCATTCTTAAATGGGATGTGTCCTAAGGATAAGTTTCAGTGCTTATTTTATAATTATAATTACTGTTTGCAGCATTACGCTTATTGTTATAAGCACATTTCCCCGTAATGCTGCAAACAGTAATTATATTTCCAGATATACCTACATAAGCATATACAATCTACAAATACCTGAAAAATTATATTAAAAATGATATTTCAACTATGACTAACTATTCTTAGTTTGTTACCTTTTTATATAATCATATAGTTTTTAAAAATTAAGAAAAAGATCACTAACCAATTATAAGGATTGAAATGAGCTCCATATTATCTCTGATTTTATCATCAACAATTTACACTAAATTATAGAATTTACTATAGCTGATGATTAAAAGTTTCTACTTATTGTGGTTTTAAAAATACTTCTGTATGTAATAGGCAGTCAACAAATAGTTAATGGCTTAATTAAAATCTGAAGATTATAGTAAATGCCTAAATCCCAAAGAAACAATCATCTTAAGAAAAAATTTTAAATATATTTTAATTGTAGCCATATAAAAACACAAAGCATTCATCACTGTGTTGGCCAACGCCTTAGTTTTGATACCTCTTTTCACCTTTTGTGAAAGCAGAGACCCCTGGCAGCGGGGAGAGGGAGAGTTGCCCTGGGCGCCCACCTTTCTGTTCCTGAGACAGGCTCTCCTGGCACAGATCCAGCCCCGTCTGCTCTCCAGCTGCTGGCGCTGCCGGCTGAGCGCTTGCACCTCCGAACTCCTGTCGTCCTGCAGTCCCGTCACTCGATCAATGACTTTGAGTTCCTCCAGATTTTCACACGGATCATAGTACACGACTTCATCCTGTTTATCTGGAAACATATTCATGATTTTTTTAAGACATGTTTTATTATTTAAAAAATAAGGCATAAAAATATTTTAAATGTAAGGAGAGTAAAGAGCACATGTAATCCCACCACCACCCAGGAGAACCACACACACACATATATACTATTTATATAGCTACACATGCCAACAAACAGAGTTCTAAGAGAACATTTTCCATGTGATGGAAATAGAATTTTAATGGCAACACAGTATTCTCTAATTTAAACATTCCTGGTTGTTAGGATGCTCCAGTGTTCTATTATCAGTTTCACCATGATGAACATCTCTGAATATAGGTCTTTTTGTACATTTATTATCTCCTTAGCAGATGAATATTTAAGACTCTTGATAACTATTGTCAAACTGCCCTCCAGAAAGGCAAGTTACATTCTACCAGCAGTATATTATTAAGGTGACTTAATGATATTTAGTCTTGATTACATGTTGATTTTTTAAAAATACATGCTAATTGTAACAAATTCAAGCCCCACAGAAGAAAGTGAAATTTTCTTCTTCTTTCCCCAAAACTTTGGAATCCTAACCCAGAGGAAGACATTATCAACAATTTGGCATGCATACTTCCAGATTAACTTTTTTCATAGAATTTTTTCCTAAATATGTAAAATTCTTATAATCTGAAACTACTGTAAAGTTTTTTGAATGCCTATGATTAAATTAAATGTTCAGGATCTGTGTGAAGAAAATTATTAAACTTGGTGGAACTTTAGGGAAAAAAAGACTTAAGTAAATGGGGAGACATACCATGTCCTTGGATGGGAAGATTCAAAATTGCAAAGATGACAGTTCTCCCCAAATTAATCTCTAATTTTAAGCACACTCCCAATAAAAATTCCAGTGAGTTTTTATTTATTTATCTATTTGTTCTGAACTTGTCAAAATGATTCTAAAGTTCATCTGGAAGAATAAAGGAGTAAGAACATAGTCAGAAAACTTATGGAAAAGTAGAGTAATGAGGAAGTACGTGCTTTCCCATAAATTAAAGTGTGCTTCCAAGATTCAATAATGGGAATAGTTTGGTACCAGTACCAGAAGCCACTCACAAATCAATGAAATAAAGTAACAGTTCATAAATAGAACAAAATAAATATAATAATTCTGGATATGAGAGGGGTAAGCAAATCAAAGCAGTAGGAGAAAGTATTTTCAAAATCGGTGATTGGGACTGCTAACATCTTGAGAGGGGAGTTAGAGTCCTACCCTACATCAAAATTAATTTTACCTGGATTGAAGAGCGAAATGGTCTTTTAAAAATCTTAAAAATACTAAAAGAAAAAAATAAGTAAAATATTGACACAATTTTAGGATGAGGATGACTTTGCCAGGTATAACACCAAAAGCAGATAGATGTGACTTCATAAAAATTAAATAGTTTTACAAGGTGAGAAAAAGCGAACAACAGGGAGAATTTATTTACAATATATGACAAATTAGTAGACTAATATCGTTCATATGGAACAGGAACATTCCAAAGGAAAATGGGCAAAGACCATGAATAGGCACTTAATGAAAGAAATACAAGTGGCCAGTAAATATACAAAATTGCTTTCAACGTCACTTGTAACTGAATAAATGAAAATTAGAAGATGCCATTTTTTTTCTATCAAGTAGGTAAGAATTTAAAAGAATGGTAAAAGTACAGAGAAACAGTTTCATAAACTGCTGATGGAGTGTCATTTTGTACAACTTATCTGGAGGGCCGCTGCAGTATGAAATTTAGAAATTAGAAAATAATGAAGGTGAGGAAAAGTATATATCAAATGACTGTTGCAGTGTTTTAACAGATATGTGTCAAATATAAATTCTGCATGGTCCTTGACCTAGTGATTTCATCTTTAGAATTTATTCCAAGGAAATAATCCATCCTACACAGACACGTGTGAAGAACAGTGCTTTACTACACTGCTGTTCACCACAGTGGAAACCTGAAAAATCAAAGTCAGTATATCCACATAAGGGAATACTACGTAGCCATTAAAATTTTTGAAGATTTTATTACTGAAATGGAAAGATGGTTATTATGTATTAAAAGAAAAAAGTGGATATTGAACAGGATATATAATTTAAAAATGGATAGATATTTATATACATCAGGCTACAAAGTTAATAAATTATCATCACTAAGTATCTCTAGATGATGGAATTGGAGTAATAATTTTTCTTCCTTTATTTTGCCGTGTGTTTAACAATAAACATATTGGAATAATAAAAATACTTAGGGGAAACTTTAGGAAATTTCAGTAGATTTTTTTAGACAATTTACAAGAAGTAATTGATAATATGGTCTGTATTTCCTTGATGTATAATTTAAACATTATTAATATATATTTAAATATAAATTTTACCTTTGATAAGTCTTTTAATAGAGTCCAACTGTGTAATAAGTAGTATTTCTTCATATTTTAATATCTCAAATTTAACCTCGTATAGCTCTAATTGAACTTCATAATATTGTATTTCTAATTCATCTACAACATCTATATTTTTTTCTTGTTCTGGAAGATCTTCCATCTTGTTTTCATGGAAAAAAAATAAGAGCAAGTTAAAATAGTATAGTAAAAGCAAACTATAGAAGCATCTGAGCTCTTTACTATTCCTTGCTCAATGCCAAATATAAAAAAGCGAATAGAAAAGAAATACTCTTCCATTTTGTTTAATGAAACAAAAATGCCCTATCCAACATTTTTACAAATACTTTATCTCATACTTGAAACAGATAAAAACATTTAGGTTTGAGAAAAATCAATGGCAATGAGGACTTTACAGTGATTTCTGCTTTAAAGTCATAACATTACAGGAAAAATTTGACTATGATCCTAGGATGAAGCATCTGATTATTCTAAAGTTGTGCTGAAAATATTGCTTGATTAATTTTAGAGTATATTACCTACTTCTCTACTGCGCTCAATGTTATTATCAAGGGAATCCTACAATGTAGTATTTCAAAACCATCTTGAGCAATGGGAAACTTTATAGCCAACCTTTCGTGGTCTTTCAATTCTTATCTACTAGAAGATGGTGTTGGAATAAGTGAAGAAAGGAAGCTCTTTAACAATAGCCAGAAGGAAAAATGACATCGAAAATCACAGTCACCTCTATCATTGTCTTACCTTTCCCCGAATTTCAGCTCTTTTGTGATTTAAACACAACTCTTTGGCTCTCATGAGTTGCAGAGCCTCTCGAGCCAACATCAGCTTGAGTCTTTCTAACCTGGGGGCTGCGGTGGCCCAGGCAGCCTGGCCGAACCTCTTCTCATCCTGTTCCATTTGTTTCTGCATTCCT